TATTATCAGTAGGGCTCGCCTTTTTTTGATAAATTTTGAGTCTTGTTATGAATAATTCTTTTTGGATGTGGAATCAGTAATGTTATTACAAGTTTGTTTTTTTCCCATTCAAAGCTTCACATATTCTAGTTTTCCCCATTTGCCCCTTGTTGTTAGGTTCATGGCCCTGGAGCAGATATAGACACACTCTGCGTTGGACCTAGACATGCAACCCGAGAAGTGCGATCAGCCTTACCTTTTATTGTGCAATAGTTTTTACTTCATTTTTGCGGTATTAATTAACTTTAAATTTATTTTATAACTTGTGTGTAGGAAGATTTCTTTGGTGAGCTACAGAGGATGCTGTCTGAGATGCCTGAAGTTACAGAGTTGCATCCTGTGCCTGATGCTTACGTCCCAGTTATGAAATTCAAGTTCAGTGGGGTTTCAATAGATCTTCTTTATGCAAAACTGTCACTTTGGGTTATTCCTGAAGTAAGTGTTGGTTATATGCTGGAAGTTCCTTATCCACAATTGAACACATTGTCATCCTTTAATTTTGCATGCCTTATTAACTTCTTTTATGCATCGCTAGAAAGATAATAGATGGCTTTCTGATTCTTAATTTTTCATTCATTATTTCATAAAAACCATTTGAAAAAGCATAGGCAGTGGAGATTTTTGCACTCATTCATATTTTCCTTTCATCTAATAGTCTCTTAACTAAGATCATTTGACTGAATGTAAATTATGAATTTCTAAAGGTCGCTTTAGATGGTTAGCCCAGACCAGGTTAGCTTAGATCAGAGAGTGTCTGTGCTGGACTAAAATTTGCTCAAATAGCTAAATCTTACACTCAATATACTACTATACTTATGTTTTTTAAAGGATGTTATATAAGGAAAAAAATATCTCTTTTGAAAATTTTCTAGTATTTTCTGTTTCCAACGTTTTTTATTTGGAGCAGGACTTAGACATATCACAAGACTCAATACTACAGAATGCAGATGAACAGACAGTTCGTAGTCTCAATGGTTGTAGAGTTACAGATCAAATTCTGCGTTTAGTGCCAAGCATTCAGGTTCTGGCCATCATTGTCTAGCTTATTTGCATACAGTTTTTTGTTTTAAATCTTTTTGTTTCTTATCATGTAACTGGCTTTTTTATTGCAGAATTTCCGCACAACATTGAGATGCATGAAGTTATGGGCAAAGCGTCGTGGTGTTTATTCAAATGTATGGTGGGGGATTTCTGATGCACTAGATTATTCCATAATTCGAGACAGTATTCTTTTTACTTATGATGTGTGCTGCTTTCTATCATGAGCAGGTTGCAGGATTTCTTGGTGGTATAAACTGGGCATTGCTTGTTGCTCGCATATGCCAACTTTACCCAAATGCACTGCCTAATATGCTAGTGTCTCGGTTCTTCAGGGTGTATACTCAGTGGCGTTGGCCAAATCCAGTCATGCTTTGTGCTATTGAAGAAGGGTCTCTTGGACTTCAGGTTTGGGATCCTAGAAGAAATCCAAAGGACAAGTATCATTTGATGCCTATAATTACTCCGGCTTATCCCAGCATGAACTCCAGCTACAATGTGTCCTCAAGTACGCTGCGTATCATGTTAGAGGAGTTTCAGAGGGGAAATGAAATTTGTGAGGTACGATTCTGTGGTGCAAGTTGTGATGACTTCTTTCCACAACACAGAGAACATATAGGTTACAGGATAAGATTTCTCATTGACTCATATTATGTAATGATTTGAGTGGTGGTATTCTTGTTCTTGTTAACTAGGCCATGGTTGTAAAGTTTAGTGTTTATTTCAAATGTTCCATTGATGGAGTTGTATTCCTTAAAAAAAATCTGCAAAATGTGAATACTGTGCCTCTGTCCTGAGTTTGATGTTTGGTAGTGCTTGCAGGCTATGGAAGCAAATAAGGCTGATTGGGACACCCTTTTTGAGTCTTATGATTTCTTTGAAGCATATAAGAATTATTTGCAGATAGACATCAGTGCAGAAAATGCTGATGACTTTAGAAAATGGAAAGGTTGGGTTGAGTCCCGTCTTCGCCAACTAACGCTGAAGGTGAAACTATTCCTTCTGTGTTATTCTTTTGCTCTCTCTCTCTCTCTCTCATAATAATCAGTGATGCTTATTCATCTGTTACATGTTAATCCAGATTGAGAGGCACACTTATGACATGCTACAGTGTCACCCACACCCAGGTGATTTTTCAGACAAATCCAGACCTTTTCATAGCTCTTACTTCATGGGCCTACAACGAAAACAAGGCGTTCCCGTCACTGAAGGTGAGCAATTTGACATAAGGGCAACAGTAGAGGAATTTAAGCAGTCTGTCAACCGGTACACATTATTGGAGCGTGGAATGGAGATCCGTGTATCCCATGTAAAACGCAGGAACATTCCTAATTTTGTATTTCCTGGTGAGGTTCGACCTTTGCGCCCATCTAAAGTAACTTGGGGGAGCAGGCGCGGTTCAGAACTGAAGGTTTCTGGTGATGCTCAACCAGATAAATTGTGTGAAGGTAAAACTGATTTAGATGGATCAGATGGTGGACAGAAGAGAAAGCGGGTGGATGATACTGTAGAGACCGACTCAAGGTATGCCAAGTCTTTACATCTCTGCAGTGGGGAAGTTCATGCGGCTAGCCCTCCTATCAGCAATATCAGTTCATGTTCCACAAAATGTGAAAGTACGGATGCAAACAAAAAAGTTGATGATAGCATAGCAGTTAGCTTAGAAAAGATAGAAAACGCCGCAGATATTCCTTATCAGAATGGTCAGATTGAAGTATCGTCAAGGTGCAATCCGTCAAACGATAGTCTACCTGCTGCTGCGAATACATCAAGTTCTAAAGACGCAGAGAAGATGGCATTAGAGAAGAATATGGCTTGCCCATATGTTTCACACCAAGCTTTGCCAGAACTGGATGAGCTTGAAGATGATTCTGAATATAGACATCAAGTCAAAGATTTTTCCGGGAACATGAAAAGCAGTCAAATGGAGCCTTCAGAGGAGAATGTATCAGTTTCAGCGCCAGTAAACTCAAGCAATGGAGCTGGTCCTTCCACTGATTCATATGATGGGGGCTTAGAGGAACTTGAGGTCAAACACATAACTTTTGTTTGTGTTCGTATTTTTCGACTTTCAAAGTTTTCATCTCATTATTCAATTATGTCCCTTGTGGATTTTTATATTTGGTTGCATGTGCAGTATTTGTTCTTAAGATTTTTTGTTTGTTTTTATTTTTCGGGAATGCTATTTTGTGAGTGCATACTTAGGGTAAAGCCGTTCAGAACATCTAAAGATAGATTTGCAGGAAATTGAACTCTGTATAAAAACTTTAAAAACAAAATAAGTTTCTTCTTAATATATATGGGAGGTGAAGGGGAATCATTTCGTATTTGCTTTTTTTGATCTTTTCTATGTTATTCTGTGTCATTGTCTGCTTTAGCACTGTTGGTTGCTTTTCATTGAAGCTTTTAACCGGTAATTCTTCTTTTATTGCATGTTCTAATTTTAAAGCCGGCGGACCTTATGGTGCCATCTTCAAATGGAACCCCTCCTGAACCTGTGGCACAGAAAAAGTCGATCATCAGGTATTCATTGGTTCAACCAATTCTGAAACCATTTCAATTTAAATGTGTGTGATTGATCGTCACACCAGAATATTTCTTTTAAATCCTGAAATACTTTGAAAAGCAGGTGCGTAACTATTCCTTTCAGCAACTTTTATGTCTTGAACCTCTTTTTTTTCTTCTTGTTATTTGCAGGTTGAATTTCACTTCGCTGGCCAAAGCTGCTGGTAAAAGCTCATAAAAGGACTAGTGTAGTTTTCTTTTTGGTTTTTTCTTGGGCTTCGGCCCTCCTTGTAACCGAAAAAAAAAAAAACCTCATAAAAGGATGTTGAATCTTGAAATCTCATATGTATTATAAGAATTGTTCTTTTTCTTTTCACTTTTTGTATCAACTGTTATAATCAATAAAATTTGAATTTTACTTCTATGAACATGAGAATGCTGGTGCTAGTTTCTGATTTTCTCATTTCACCAATGATTGATGGAACCCTTGCTCACGTTCAATCGACCAAGCTTACAACCAGAAGTGAGCCGTGGCTGCTGGCATTAGGATCACGTACTTATTATAATATAGAACTAGAGCAAAATCTGACAATCAACTCGGTCAATACAAGATAAGTACAAGCCATTGGGGAGGGGTTTCGAACATCTGCCCACATGGGTTGAAATTGAAGAATTCAATCAACTGAGATCTACCCATTGTAGTCAATGCCATTGGGAAACCTTTGCCCACATGGATGGAGGTGAAAGAACTCAACTATCTGAGATCTACCCATTGTAGTCAATACAAGATCTTTAGCTTGTGCAAAAAATAATAAATCAATCAATAAAAGCCTTAACAGGACACCATGGATGATGATGTGATGTTAATGAATAATCTATAATAAAATTAACACCTATAATAATCGAATGAATTTTGTTCTGTTTATGAAAAAGAAACAAATTTTTTTTCTTGTAACAAAAAAGAAACAAGATTATTGAAACCAAACCCTCCGTTTGTATCGAGGAAAATAATTCGAGAGTTGAAGAGGAGAAATTGATATTTCAATTGTTTGGCAACTTAAGCATGTAACTTATTAAATGATGCGCAAAAAAAAAAATCGTGGAAATTAAGGATCAAGATTTCCAAGTTTAATTTCCACCAAAAGATGCGTTATTTTGCAATTTCTATTGAGCATGAATTCGTTTTTCACCCTAATTTCTGTTATTTACAACATTCGACATACATAAACCCGAATACTGAAATTATTAATAGCCAGAAATTTAAATCATGAATATCTAAATTCCTTTATTTAAGAATGTTATGTAATTTGCAAACTGAGTCAGTATGGGTGAAAAGCTAGACTCCAAAAGTAAAAAATTGGCATGTATCGCGCTCTGACTCTGTTCACGCTGTCTCTCACGCTGTGAAACCTCTCACCTTTCATATACAACAATTATAATACATAGTACCCTTTTTCAGCGTCGGTGTCTTAACGCCCTTGTCTTCCAAATTCTCATTCACTTCTCTCTCTGAGAGAGAGAGAGATGGAAGAGGAGCAGCTGGACTATGTGCTGGTACCACTGGGTCTGTTGGTGTTTGGAACATATCACGTGTGGCTGCTCATCACCATTCTGCGTTATCCAATTCGAACTGTCGTTGGCCTCAATGCTCAGTCTCGTCGCCAATGGGCCTTATCCATGATGACTGTCAGTTCCCATCTCTCTCTCTCTCTCTCTAGACTTATCCTGTTCTGTTCAATTGGTGTTTGAATTCTTTAGCTAGCTAGTGGGTATTTGAATTTTTCCTTTTCGATGGTTAGTGAGTGTGGTCATGAAAATAGAATTACATCCAACCATATGACCCAAAAAGAAAACAAAAAGAATTGGCTAAATAAATCCCTTTACAATTTGGCTGTATTCCATGTCCTTTCTTGGTAGGTAGGAAGTAGGTACCCTTTACAATTACGAATAGGATTGTGGCATGTAATTGGCGTTGGGGTCATTGGGAGCTATTAAGGTTCTAATACTGATCCTTTCGCTGTAAAGAGTTTTGCTTTGGGTTTAAGAGTAAGGTGGCTGGAAACTGGTAAATAGTTCTTCATGTGGGATCATGTAAAATGAGTCTTTGGGGGGTATGGAAAGCTGTTGTCTTTAAGACTTTTCAGCATCGTTTAAAGGTTTTGGAAACTTAAAGTTCTCAAACTAGCTACTTATTTACAACTCTACTGTATATGTATCAGTTGGCTTATGCTATACAAAGAAGCAAGCTTCATCTCACATTTCTTTCTTCATGCTAGAATTTTCAAGATCCAAAATTTAATTAGGATGCTTAAAGTTAAACATTACTAATTGGCCTTCTTTGGCTACCTGTCCCATGAATTGGAGATTAACTAGTAGGATTCATTCATGTACCTTGGTTAGGCTGATCTCTGGACAAGACCATTTGGTGGAGTCATGATAGTATATCTAAGGTGTATTTCTTGCTTGACTTCTTCTGTTGCTTTCCATCACCAACAACAAGCTAAGATGATCTTTTATGATTTTGAGAAGTTAACCTGTTTTCTGGGATTAGTCATTGGTATCTTTCAAAGTTTCAATCCCCTAATGTTATTGAAACCTCAAACTATTATCTAACTTTTCAAGAAGAAACAATAGAATTTGAGGGTTGGTCCATCATATATATAATAAAAGAGTCAACCCCTTTCCTTTAATTTTATTGATCAGGACCCCTTGAAGAATGGTGTTTTGGCTGTTCAAACCATACGCAACAACATAATGGCATCTACACTGTTGGCAACAACAGCTATTACTTTGAGTTCTCTGATCGGTGTATTTGTGAGCACATCATCAAACTCTGGCAACACAGCATCGAGATTAGTTTATGGCAATAAGACTGCATTTCTCTCTTCGATCAAGTACTTTGCTATCTTGCTTTGCTTTCTGGTTGCCTTTCTCTTGAATGTGCAGTCAATTAGATACTATGCCCATGTTAGCTTCTTAGCCACTGTGCCCACATGGAAGGGTCAAAAGGATTATATCGAGTACGTTGCAAGAAACTTGAACCGAGGAAGCTACTTCTGGTCCCTTGGATTAAGAGCTTTCTACCTCTCATTCCCTCTCTTCCTCTGGATATTTGGACCCATACCCATGTTTGTGTGTTGCTGCATTATGTCCTGTGTTCTTTATTTCTTGGACACAAGCACTAGTTTTACAAGACATCTTCACACTAACTCTCTCAAAGGGGTCGCATACGATGATGTGGAATCAGTTGGACAACCGTCATGATAATAAGGTCTTGGAAATTACCTTTTTTTTTTCTTCTTAATCCTGTTCAGATTTATTAGAATATTAGTTGGTTTATTAAATCTTAAGTAGATAGATCTTCTGTATATTTTTCGTAACTGTGTACGTATGTTGGTTCCTGCTTTTGGATTTTGGAAAGCATGTAGTTAAGACTTGAGACCTTGGAGGCTATGGGATGCATTTGCTATTTGAAAATTTTCAGCCCCCATTTCTAAGTATTAAAATATGCTGGGTGTAAGATGAATGTTGGATTTAAATAGAACTCCTCGAATGAATATCATGTATTATTTTGTGTAATTTAAGACATTTGTCATGCATGCTGAACTGAATGGCAGGATGCATGACAAATTCTGTATATTGCTGAATTGCAATGTATTAGGGTTTCGAGGTCCAAGAATGAATGGCAGTATGCTCAATTCCTAAACAACAGGGAAGAACTGAGTGGTAGTAGAAATTCTGTCCAAAACATTTGTCCCAACAAAACCCTTCAGCTGCCTGCAGGGGATTTAATTAGCCAGCTAAAGATAGATTATGTGTCTTTTGCTTTAGGGAGATTCTCCAATAAGTATTTTATGTTAAGGATTTGTTACATGCTTCTAATATTGGTCATTGGGTTGCATTTATTAACTGTATTGATAGTCTCTTAAATGCAATCTAACGGCCGAAATTAGAAGTATGTAACCAATTCATTACAACTCACTTAGTATTTTATCTTCTTTTCTTTATTTATTTATTCACTAACCAAATAAAACAAGTGTAGAAACACTGCGTGAACGTGCCCTTGATATCAGCGTTCAAAAACTTTCAACTCAACATTTCTTTATCAACTGGTTTCCAACAGTGCCACTTATCTTTTTATTTTGGTCCCATTTGGCTATATTTTTTGGTTTGTCAGAAGCCAATTAATCAACCAACACATTGGCGGTTGAGGGTCCGATCCAATCCAATCATGACCAGATACAATATTAACAGTTACAAGGTTGCTCTGTCTTTGCCTTAAGCAGCTGAACCCCGTCTTCTGTAACTTCAGACAACTCACTCACTCTCGAGGATAGGGAAGAGAGAGAGAGTAATTAAGTGGTAAAGACACTAAAAGAGTAGAAGAGAAGAGGGATGGAAGGGGATTGCTTAAGCTGCGACTATCTGCTGGTACCAGTGGGCCTGTGTGTGTTGGGAATATACCACATTTGGCTACTCATCACAGTTCTGCGCAATCCCACAAAAACTGTCATTGGCCTCAATTCTGCGGTTCGCAAACAATGGGTCTTCTCCATGATGGCTGTTAGTCCCCCTTTCTCTTTCCTTTTATGTTTTCCTTTTGCAATTTACAGGATTTCTTTTTTAGAACCCAAAAACAAAAAAAGTTACAGACTTTGGTAAGTAAAACTTTTGAGAAGGATAAAACCATTTGCATTTCCTTCATATATACAATGATACATGGGGCATGCCTAATTAACACTTGCTATGCTAATTAGCATTAAGTGCAAAGTTTAGGTTCTCTTCTCTGCATCAATTTCAGGACCCCATGAAGAATGGTGTTTTGATTATACAAACATTGCGCAACAACAGCAATTACTCTTTCTTCTGTGATCAGTGTGTTTGTGAGCACCAGCTCCAGCTCTAGCTCTGACAGCACTGTATCACATCAATTAGTTTATACCATCCCTCTTTCTTCAATCAAGTACTACTGCATTTTGCTCTGCTTTTTGGTTGGATTTCTCTGCAATGTGCAGTCTACTAGATACTTTGCCCATGCTTGCTTCTTGGCTACTCTGCCAACAGGGAAAGACAAAACAGACTACATTGAATATGTTTCGACAACTGTGAATCGAGGAAGTTACTTTTGGTCCCTTGGATTGCGAGCATTCTACCTCTCAATTCCTCTCTTTCTCTGGATCTTTGGGGCAATTCCCATGTTTGTTTGTTGCTGCATAATGACAAATGCTCTCTATTTCTTGGACACAACCACCAGTTTTACACAACTTATTCACAGCTAATCCCTCAAAGAGGAAGGGAGAACCAATGATGTCGAATCAATTGGTCAATCATCGTAAGGTCTGTTCGATAATACATAATACTATTACAATTGGTAATTCTTAAGGCATGATATCACGATAACAGATTGTGTCTATTTTAATCTGAATATTATTGTTTGTGTGTACCGCCTCTGCCGGTGTTTTGAGTGTCCATGTTCATGTGTGTCCTTTTTTTTTTGGCTATAGATTGACATATGTCTTTGATTCTTATACTGGTGAGAGAAAAACTTTAGTCTAAGATCTTGGAGGAAATCTTTGATAAGTTTGGCACGCTTTAGTATTATCTTGGACTGAAGAGCAGAGTTCGAAGCAATGTTTTATTCTCATTGTTTTTCTAAAAGACAAGTATTTAGAATTTTCAACTGGACACAGAACTTTACATGTAATATTCTAAAAGCTGGGAGAATTCTCTGCAACTAGCCTTTGGAAATATGTGGTTGTCAGTGTTCTTCTAAAAGAAAAAGCCAAGTCTAAGACTATGAGGATTAATTCCTTACCATTGTGGCAGGCATGAAAAGCTTTTACCTGATCGAACAACTTGGCCAATAGGCAATCTAATACCAAGAAAACTAATTCCACTATCCTAACGGAACAATGGATGATGGATTTTGTATTATATTCTTGGGCAGTAGTCTTGATTTGCCTCATTTTAATGCCAAAAAGTTGAAAGATCTTGATATTGGATCATGCATTCTGCAGCAAAGAATATAGTTTCAAATGGGATTTAGAAATACCTTATTTAGTGTCAGTAGACAGTGAAATACAATGAATTTAAATTAAGCAATAGGATTCTTCAAATTTCTTGCTGGGGGAATTTGCTGCCACTCGCCAAATGTTTGACTTGTTCCTTACCTACTTTGAGGTCATGCATCTATATGTTCCTCTCAGAATGCTTACTCTGAAGAGTTTTTTTTTTTTTTTGGGGGGGTCCGACTCTGAAGATATCTTGTTCTGGATTCTCAGGGCAAATTCTGGTTTTGAGGACTTTCACATTCGCGGTCCCCTACTTAAGGACTATGACTCAGTTTCTGCGGCTAATGTTGCTAGATAGTCTGTAATATGTTTCTGTTTCAACTTGCTGGTTGCTAAGTCCTCCTGATGGCTATTTGCTGTGTTCTGTACGCTTCCCATATCGGCAATAGGCATGAAGGCTACCTTTGTGTTTATTAAGCTTGGCAAAAATGTGCTATCTTCTTGCTCTGCTGCACTGAGTCCTGGTTATCTTTCTTTTTCAAAATCTCAAATACTCATTAGGTGGCTTTCACTGCGGGTGCATCCAGGTCGAAAGTTATAAATTGTACTTGTTCTGAACCCTCCTTGCTTCTTTAATCAAGAGAGAATTTTATTTTATTTTTGTAATTCATCATTGATTGCAGTAGCATTCGCGGCGGAACCTCTTATTTATTGTTTTTTTTTAAACGGTAGGCCACAAATGGAAAAAATAAAAAAAACAAAAAAAAACTCTGGGATATTGCAACTCTATGGCCCCGTTTGGTTCACAGAATGGATTTGAGGGGAAATCACTTCCCATATCATTTTCCAAGGGATGGGAAATCGAGATTCATTTCTCATGTTTGGTAATCCTCAAAGTAACCTATAAATACCACTTTATTTCCTTTCACATGTTTGGTTTGTGTAGAAATGTAAAATAAAGTTTGTTTAATTTTCGAATTATATCCATATGAAATCAAATAAAAGAAGGATACAAAACCCCAAAAGGGGGTGGAGGGCTTCACTTTCCCCCTACTTTCCCATGTGCAAGGCAACGATTTCCCATGACTGTGCTTACCAAACATGGGAAAGCAATTGATTTCCCATCCCTAAGCCTCATTTCCCATGAACCAAACGGAGACTATCAATAGGGTGTTGTTCTAAGAGGGATTGGCAATGCCATTGTTTATCATCTCTTGCACATTGAGCTTTTGATGAAATAGCATGCTACACAACATATTCCCTAAACTGAATGAAGGGAAGGAAATGATGGTGTGTTTATTAATCATGAATTGGAGTTCTCATCAGGAATTGAATTTCACTTATGGAGGATTTTGGCGTTTACTTCACATCAAGAAATTAAAAAGTAAGTGGGGCTCACACAAAATTAGAAATTGAATTCTTGATTTTGGAGGAATTCAATTCTTGGGTGGAATGTGGTATTCTAATTCCTGGAGAACTAACCTATTATGAATTCATCTTTTTTACCCATTATATCCTCACACAATTTTAAAAAATCCAAATTTGTCATCTACTTTAACCCAACGACGAGGACATTTTAGTAATTAATACCACTTCTACTCCAATTCCATATGGTTTAGTAAACAACTTTAATAGGAATCCGGAATCTAACTCTTCTCAATCCATATGGTTTAGTAAACAATTTCAATAGGAATCTGAAATCTAATTCTCCTTAATTCAATTTCTCATAATCCAATTACGGATTAGTAAATATGCCAAGTAAAGAAAGTAGAGTAATTGTTTTAGCATCTTATGCTCGTAAAGGATGCTATCTGTATGATATGACTTGATTCTGACATACAAGAGTTTTTCTGGGTGTTGATGATAGTGGAAATATATATGGCTTAGTTTGAAGCAGAACAATATTTTCGAATGTGGTAGCTGCAACAGCTAGAAGATGAAAGCAAATAATGACATGCACAAATTCAATACAAAGCTTATTTTGGAAAGGCTTAATATCACAAAATGTCCCTAAGATTTACGAAACTATCAAATTGCATCCTTAATGTTTTTTTGTGTCATTCGTGGTCCTCAAGGTTAGTATGTGTGATCACAAATGGTCATTGACATTAGTTTCCATAAAAAATTCCGTTAGTTTGCTGACGTGACATATATATCACAAAACATCCTTGAGGTTCAAGCACCTATCACAAATGATCCCTGCGAAATTTTTTAATTTAAAATTTATAAAATTTTGGTTTTTTTTTTATAAAATAATTTATGGAATTTATATTATTTAAAAATATATATCTTTTTTTTTTTGGTTAAAATATATATCATATTTTAAATACACGTGGCACTATATTATTGGAGATGTGGGCTCCAAATATATGCCACACTTTGGCCAGCACTTTAATTACCCCTTAGAGCTCCTCCAGCCATGCACCAAAACCGGGCAAAAGGCCCCTCGGGCTAGCCCATTGCAGCTCCAGCGGAAGAAATGAAGCCTGGGCAAGTGGTGGGTCCTACGTACCTGGGCAAGCCCACGGGCAGATCTTGCCTGGGCTGAAGCCCGAAGGCGCTGACGTCATGCGTGACGTCACGCTGACGTCAGCCCTCACCAATTCAAATTTTTTTTACCGTTGGCGCGTGAATTTCACGCGCCAACAGTAAAAAAATTTCACTTCCGCTCGCTGACGTCAGCGCCTGCAGGTCCCAACGGGCAGAAGCCACGTGGCGATTCCCCAGCTCTCCGATCATTTTTTTTGCAGAAATCCGACGATCCTCATTTTTTCCGCAAAAAAAATTGCAAAAAAAATCGAAAAAAATTCAAATTTTTTTTTAAAAAATACCAAAAAATTATGTATTTTTTCCCTATAAATACCTATCAATTTAACTTACCTTCCACACCAAATCTTCATACCAACTCTTCTCCTTGCAATATTTTTTCCATTCCACTCACATTTTTCTACAAGTTTCCATTTGTATCAAAAAAACAAATGGCCTCTTCTGTCGAAGCCCGAGGCTCTTGGAGTACTGTTGAAGATGTTGTGTTGTGTGAGTGTTGGGTGAAAGTTAGTCATTGCCCTATATCCGGCAATGAGATGAAGTTTTCTCAAATGTGGAAAAAAATTCATGAAGAATTTGTTGAAAGATTCGGTTCGGGGCGCACGGAAATGGCCTTAGCCTCCAGGTGGAAAATTTTGAATAAAGAGTTAGGCAAATGGAGGGATGCCTTGGCAAAAGCTAGGGAGAACCATAGAAGCGGTCAAAATCTTACCGATGAGGTAAAATATTTATAATTCTCGTTTTATTTAATTTAATGTATCAATTTTTTTTCTTGCATATTATAATTTTTTTTTCTTGCATTTCTAATTTATTTATATTTTGTTGCATAATAATTTTTTTGCTT